AATATATCAACTGATAATGGTAACCCAACACACCTTCCCAAGTGTGTGAGAAATTGCAAGACAAAACGCATGGGAACAAAGTAAAAAAAAGGATCATGCATTTTTTTGCTGTGATTTGGATGTGGTAGGCAGCCCATTCAAATCAATGGGCCGTCCTCCTGCAACACATGGTAATGCCTGCAAAATGCTCAGCAAGGCATGTACCCTGGTGGATTGCACAGTTGTGAACTCAGCCTGAGTTAAATGCATATCATTTGAATAAAAATAACATATGCTATTATACAGTAGCTGTAGATAATGTAATGTTCTTTTTTATATTCTTGTCCTAATCAAGAAATATAATAGTAGAAAGATAGCATTCCTAACTTGTATGCCTTATACTCATGTAAAGCTTTCCCATCTCAACCTGATTGAATATTGTCTGTAAAGCGTTGATTGTAACTTAACTTTCTATGCATAACCAAAATTGTGTGTGTATATATATGTGTATATACACAGTGGGGATCGAAAGTTTGGGCACCCCAGCTAAAAATTTGTATTAATGTGCATAAAGAAGACAAGGAAAGATGGAAAAATCTCCAAAAGGCATCAAATTACAGATTAGACATTCTTATAATATGTCAACAAAAGTTAGATTTTATTTCCATCATTTACACTTTCAAAATAACAGAAAACAAAAAAATGGCGTCTGCAAAAGTTTGGGCACCCTGCAGAGTTAATATCTTGTACTGCCCCCTTTGGCAAGTATCACAGCTTGTAAACGCTTTTTGTAGCCAGCCAAGAGTCTTTCAATTCTTGTGTGAGGTATCTTTGCCCATTCTTCCTTACAAAATCTTCCAGTTCTTTGAGATTTCTGGGCTGTCTGTCACGCACTGCTCTTTTAAGGTCTATCCATAGATTTTCAATTTGTTGAGGTCAGGAGATTGTGAAGGCCATGGCAAAACCTTCAGTTTACGCCTCTTGATGTAATCCCCCGTGGATTTCGAGGTGTGTTTAGGATCATTATCCATTTGTAGAAGCCATCCTCTCTTTAACTTCAGCTTTTTCACAGATGGCATCAAGTTACCATCCAAAATTTGCTGAAATTTTATTGAATCCATTTTTCCTTCTACTAGTGAGATGTTCCCTGTGCCACTGGCTGCAACACAACCCCAAAGCATGATTGATCCAACCCCATGCTTAACAGTTGGACAGAGTTTCTTTTCATTAAATTCTGTGCCCCTTCTTCTCCAAACGTACCTTTGCTCATTCCGGCCAAAAAGTTCAATTTTAACCTCATCGGTCCACAGAACTTGTTTCCAAAATGCATCAGGCTTGTCTATATGTTCATTTGCAATGTTCAAACGATGATTTTTGTGGTGAGGACGTAGAAGAGGTTTTCTTCTGATGACTCTTCCATGAAGACCATATTTGTACAAGTATCTCTTTATAGTGGAATAGTGTACCACAACTCCAGTGTCTGCCAGATCTTTCTGGAGGGATCGTGCAGTCAAACGTGGGTTTTGAATTGTTTTTCTCACAATCCTGCGAGCTGTTCTGTCTGATATTTTTCTTGGTCTTCCAGATCTTGCTTTACCTTCCACTGTTCCTGATGACTGCCATTTCTTAATTACATTCCGAACAGAGGATATTGACATCTGAAAACGCTTTGCTATCTTCTTATAGCCTTCTCCCGCTTTGTGAGCGTCAACTATTTTCAGTTTCAGTTTTCTAGACAACTGCTTAGAAGAACCCATGGTGCTGATTGTTGGGGCAAGGTCAGATGAGTCTGGGCATTTAAAACCTTTGCGATTGACATCTGGTCTTCCCAGACGATGATTGAGAACAATCCATTATGTGTGTGTGTGTTGTGTGTGTGGTGTGTGTGTGTGTGTGTGTGTGTGTGTGTAATGTGTGTGTGTGTGTGTGTATTGTGTGGTTGTGTGTGTGTTGTGTGTGTATGTGTGTGTGTGTGTGTGTGGGTGTGTGTTGTGTGTGTGTTTTGTGTTGTGTGTTGTGTGTGTGTGTGTATGTATGTGTGTGTGTTTGTTTGTTGTTTTGTTGTGTGTGTGTGTGTGTGTGTGTGTATTATGTAGGTGTATGTGTGTGTGTGTGTGTGTATGTATGTGTGTGTGTGTGTATGTTGTTGTGTGTGTGTGATATATATTTATGTGTGTGTGTCTTTTGGGTGACACCCATCAATAATGGATGGCATGCTAAATAGCTACTAACAGCTACTGAGTAGCAATACTTGAATCGCTGGGGAGTTGTTGCAAGTAATAGCCTAACAACTTCACAGCCTTAAAAGATGTAATTGCTTCTCTGTTTAGTGTGGTGTACCTTTTGTCTTTACAAGAGTAATGGCATAGATAAGGCATCCAGTAAAATCCTTGTGCAGTAAATGCAATAAAAGCTCTGCTGTAATCTGCTTTCATATATATATGTGTATATGGTACAACTATATTTTATACAAAAAGGAACCATTTCCTGTTTTTGAACGCTGTTGCACTTTGCCCTCATGTTTCATGCTGTAAGTCTCTCTCCCATTAACATATAGGGGTTGATTTACTAAAAGTGTAGAGTGCAAAATCTGGTGCAGCTTCCATATATATATATTTTTTTTGTCAAAGCTTAACTGAACAAGCTGATGGCTGTGATGCACAGCTGCACCAGATGTTGTACTCAACAGTTTTTTTTTAATCAACCCCACACTGTATAACTAAATGTAAAATTATGTAAAATGTACTATGTACACTAATCTAAGAATTGTAAAGATGAAAAAAGCTGAACGGTTTTAAAAACGGCAAATATAAAAATGGCAAAGTTAAAAACAAAGTGCTCACACTATTTCTAGATTGCGTATAGTCTACATAGACTTTGCATAAATTCTCTGCTTATAAATACACTTCATTTGCCTTTCTAACTACACCTTGTTACTATGCTCCTGACCTTCATGAAATAAAATGTAATCATATATGTAAACCCTATGAAAAAAATTTCATATTTGTTTTAACAATATTAAAATTGCACTCAGAAAAAACAAAAAAAACCCAAAAACTAATTAAATGTAATCCTAAATAGTCCCAAACGTTATTGGCTTGCTTTGGGTATACCACATTTCTTTGCAAACTCAGATATTCAGCTGTAAAGGTAGTGGTGACATCATCACTGTGCTGCACATAGCCTATACAGAGATCAGAACTGTGGGTGGGACCCAACATGTCTACCCACTACAGGCTGCCTGCAGAAATCTTCAGGTGCCAGATTCAAGACCAGTCACTTAGTACTAGGAGAGGAAGAAGCACTGACAGGTCCTTACTACAGGAAAGTTTTGCACAGCCATAGAGTACAGAAATGTTTTCCTGATGCGTTCAAAGCAATGCAACAATGTGAACCTGACCTAAAGGTACCACTTCTTTCATGTATCTACTACGCTATTTTCTGGGGGGGGGGGGGTTTTTTTTTTGTTTTGTTTTCTAAGCCCTGTACCAGGGTATATACAGAAATGGATGTTCCCCAAACTAATAAATAAAAATGAAGGACGGAGCAAGTTTATGTGCACAAATTGATGTATTTAATTCAAATGCATTTATACAAATGTGTGTAAATGAAATGTTTTAAAAGAAAGTTTTTGATTTAATTTGCTTGTCAATTGTACAGTCTCCTCTCCTGTGCTGAAATTGCTTGCTCTGATTTCACTCTACAAGGTGTGACAATTTAATTCCTGGAATTAAAAAATTTAAATTATCTGCATTCTTCAAAAGATCAGATGGAATTTGAAGACCGTGTTCTTTCTGATCTTCTGTCAAGATTTAAGGCATCATCTTTCTGGAAATCTTTCTCATTCCTAAATCCTTCAGTAGAGTCTGTTGCACTGTTTCCCTGTTCATGTTCATTACTTCTGCTGTCTTTTCTCACACTCCGTCTTTGATCTGAGCATAGGAGGGTTCACACTCTGTCCACATCTTTTGTGCTACTGGCTACCCACTTCTTCCCGACCCTTCTTAAACCACCTATGCCTTTCAAAAACCCTTGATTCCTTCTTGGAATGCTCACCTTTAAGCCTGTTGTAAAAGAGCTAAAGTTTCACTCACACATTTGCCAAATCTCACACACATTTGATGTTGATGAGCTTCTCCAGATTCCTGCCACTCATTTTCCACCAACAGGGCTATGCACACACATGTTATTTCTTCCTACAACTCCGTAAAGACTAAGTAAACTGGTCTGCGACCCAGGCGAGTGCTAGTTAGAATATGTCAGAACACAAAAGTAACATTTTAACTGGTACAAGCATCTGCCTGTGTTTTGTTAGCCTGTGACTCTATCTCTCCTCTTTAGAAAATTGCCCTGTGACAATGCCTTTACTTTGCCTCCATAGCTTTTTTCAGCCACTGAAGACTCTGGCCAAATGCTTAAAGTGGTAGTAAACTCGTTGAACAAAAACATACAAAAGTTTCCTGCTGCAAAAGAATAGCATAATATGCTAGTATTCATCACATACTAGCACATTATGAAAGACTTGCCTTAGAACGAAGCTCTCCAGCGGCTCGCTGTCACTGCTGACAGGGCTTTCATCTTCACCCGGGTTCCTGGGCTGCAGCTGCTTAAATGGCCGAGTTGCTGATGACGTCACTCCCGCGCATGCATGTAGGAGTTTCGGCCACAGCTGTGAGGAATGGCATGGGTATGCCGTTCCTTCAGAGCACATGTGCTGGTGACATCACCGGTTGCTGCTTTGTAGAATATCTCCTAAATGGGGAAGGTTTAGGAAATATTAATTTGACCTATAGGTAAGCTTTATTATAAGCCTGCCTGAAGGTAACAATATAAAACAAGTGTTTACTACCACATTAACGCCTACAATTGTATGCCTAGTACATGTGTGCAAAAATGGACATCTGATAATTTGATTTAATAATCATTGTGATTTTGTTGTTCCTCAGGTTCGTCTTTTACATCATAGATCTTGATATTTAAATGACGAGTGCTTTTGCTGATATCTTATTTTTTGCTTTGCAGTGCGCCTCCATGACAGTATTTCAGAAGAAGGCTTTCATTATCTTGTTTTTGACCTGTAAGTACTTCCTTTTGATTTTTACAAAACAAATTGAGTTTTAAAGTTATGTATATAATGTGCAAATGTCCCATCTCCCAGTGATTGTCCTACTTTAAACCCCACATCAACTTCCCCAGTAAGGTCAAAGACAGGTGTGCTCATTTTACCACTTGGCTGTCCATGTTTAAAGCCATATTTGAAGCCTGTACAACATGTGTGTGGATTGGTTGTTTAGGTTGTAGCAGTTTGAAGATACCTGCCTCAGACCATATGGAAAACTCCTGGAGGTATAATGTGAACCTATGTCACGTTTATATTAATCTGTGGGCCCTTTGTAAAGATCTCTCTTCTAGAGACCCACTGTGGAAGTTTCCCTTCACTTCCTATTATTGAGGCACCATGGGAAATGGGTGGAAATCCTACAAGCACATTAGACTTAATGGCACAGGGTAAACCGCAATACGCTAAGTGCAATAACCTATCAGAATCCATCTTCACCTAGCATGAACATTTTTCTGTATACTACAATTCTATCATAATATTAGTTTCTCTGGGTAAATGCTGTTAGTTTTGTGTTAAGTAAAACAATTTGTCATAATTCCTGATAAAGCTTTTGCTAACAGGCCAGGTTCATTATATCTCAGAACATAAAGCTCTCAGACAAAAGCATAATTAAAGGTGTCAAAATTCAGATTGCATTGTTCTTTGGTAAACCATGTTCTCCTGTAAATAAATCACTTTCTCCTCATAACCTCCTTCTGTCAGTTTTATATTTATGTAATCAGACCAAGTTATTAATTTTCATTTGTTCATGACTGCATTGTGGATACGTTCTTACAGTGCACACATCTCATTTATTTGTATTATAATTGATAGAGTAGCATTTTAAGAATCTCAGATACAATGCAAGTGTGCGGTTATTACTAAAATAGAACAGTTTGCATGAGTTACTAGCTTAGTGATAAATATATGTTTTAGTCATTTTGTGTGTGGACTGCAAGCAGGTCCTGCAAATTCCTACATTTTTACATATAATGATGAGAATTTATTAAGATTGGAGCAGCTGTGAATGCCAACCAATCAGCTTCTATCTTTCCATCTCAATCCAGCGATGTGCACGAGAGCAGAGGCTCTTGTAGTCTTCCCTCTCCTCATTGGCTGGGAGAGCAGCGGGTTTCATTGGCTGTCAATCGCAACCAGTGAAGAGGTGAGCCTCGCTCTGTGTGCCTTATAGACACTCGGCTAGCACGCATGAGTGTCCCCAGAGCAAACAGCTTGCTATGGGAGCATTCCACAAGTGGGAGAAGCGCCAGCGAGGGACTCAAGAAGAGGAGGATTGTGACTGCTCTGTGCAAAACCATTGCACAGAGCAGGTAAGTATAACATGTTTATTATTTTTCAAAAATAAAAGACTAGTCTTCACAGTCGCTTTAACTGAACAAGCTAAAGTTGAAATCTGGTTGGTTACTATGCACAGCTGCTCCAATTTTAGCAAATTTCCCCTTATGTATGTAAGAAAGCTTTACATAGGGACATAGGAATTTGGGGTTAAAACACATAATCGTACCCACACAACATCTCCCTTGTCTTCCCTGAGGTCAGTTGCTCCTATAAATGATGGCACATACTTTTGACATCTTTCCCATATTACATTTTGTCTGAAAAGCCTCTTGCTAAATTGTATCAGTTATGTTTTGCCCCAAGCCATTAAAATCTTGTTACAGAGTAATTCCTATTGTTAGAAATATGCAGACACTTGCAAATCTATTGCAGTTTACTAATTGAATATATAATTGGTTGCACAGCCATGTTGGGGGAGGTCAAACATAAAAACATAAAAAAATTGAATACAAAAATTAAAAATATTTACAAAAAAATAGCTTTTTTACCTGTGGAGGAGGGATTACAGCAGTGAACAATGTTCTTTTTGGGTGGAGGTCCGCTTTAAGGTTTATATAGGTGGAGCAGTGCAAAATCATAGTGATAGCTTCACCATTGTCACATGCTGCCAGAAAACCGAGGATCACCAATATGGGTCCAAAAGTTTTAATGAACGATCACATAGTTACAGCAAGGCAACAGTTCGGAGTCTCGCAGGACCCCTTCATCAGGCATGTGACGAGGGGGCGCTTCGAGATTCCGAAACATTGCCTTGCTGTAACTATGTGATCGTTCATTAAAACTTTTGGACCCATATTGGTGATCCTCGGTGTGCTGGTGACATTTTCCCTTGCTGATTCTGTTCGGTTCCAGCCGACATTCACTGCAGCACCCACTTATACACACAGCCATTTTTATTGCAGGAACGTGTGCGTTTGGATTGTACACTTGCATGCTGCCAGAAAAGTCTCCTTTCTGGCCGGGTTCACATGGAATGTTGACATGCATTCCCCATAGAGGGCCGTCTTTTCCTGGCATGGGGAGGTACAGGTGTTGCATGCATCCCGGTGCCGATGTCCTATTGATGTCTGTTGGGATTTGCGGCTGCACAGACAAATCTGCTGTCTTCCAGCATGGCATGCGAGTGTGCGTACCCAAACGTACCCTGTGTACGGTCATGGACCTGCATCCACCCATAGGTCATATTGGAACAATGCGGCTGTGTCTGTGCAGCTGTGTGTCTTAATAGAGAAAAATGGGAAGCTGGCACGGGGATGCATGCATCACCTGTGCATCCCCATGATGGGAAAAGATGGCCCTGTGAATGGGGCCTCTCTCTGGACCCCCTCCTCCCCATATCCATTATTAAGCCTTCTTATGTTGTTTCTACAGCATAATATATATGTATTTGCATTGATGGAATTATGGCAGAGAATGAAAAAAACTGCCTACAATTTTTCCTGAAATAATAAAAATGTAAACCCTTTGATGCTTACAGAAAAAGAACAAGAGTGATTTCTACCTTCCCTGCTTCTGATGGGATACATTATGTTTGTTTGTCTGCTGGGAAATGTTAAGGGTCCCTCCTGGGCAGTTAATGCCTAGACTGACTCACTGTGCCTGCTATCCGTCAGTTGGCAGTTCCGAAGAACGGCTCTTAGCACAGTACCGCTTGACCCTTCATGGCTCGCTCTTGTAGAGAAAGAAAATGCTCAGCCACAGGCTGCCCTATGGCACTCTGCTTTGCTTTGCTGTTTGGTTATATATTTCTTTTTTTTCACCCATTTTTCAGCAGTCTTTGTATATGTCTGTCTTTTTCAGGGTCACAGGTGGAGAGCTGTTTGAAGACATTGTAGCGAGAGAATACTACAGTGAGGCAGATGCCAGGTGAGGATAAATCCTTCACATTCTGAAGTCTGAGAAGCCATTTTCTGTCGTCTTCCTGCTTTTCAAGGGAAAATCATTTGCCTCAGAGGCATGCCTATGGAAAATAAGCACTCACTGTCATTATTGTTACTCTGTGAGCTCGTTTGTTGCAGTGACATTAACAATCCTATGAGGAATGAGTCTGTGGAGTGTTCTCTCATTCTCGGGGATAAGAATGCATACATCCTTCACTGGGCGTCAGTTATTGTCATGCTATGGTGTACCTGTCATTACAGCATTGGCTGCCTTCACAGCAGGGGTGTACTGGTGGTAGAGAGGCACTAAATGGGTGGGTGTATATTTTTGCCATGTATATAGCCGTTGGTATCAAGCGATTCCTAAGAAATTAAATGTGCTGTCAATGCAGGTAGTGTGTGTTGTAGTGTGCTCTTAAGTATCCAAAGAGATTACAAAATTGATTGCTTTTAGAAAAGCGCATCTGTATAAATATTCAGATCTGATTGAGGCTGCTAGTAGATACAATCATTTTATATCCTTAACCACTTGCCCTCCAGAGGATTTACCCCCCTTCCTGACAAGGCCATTTTTTGTAGTAATACGGTGCTGCGTTACTTTAACTGACAATTGCACGGTCATGCAACGCTGCACCCAAATTAAAATTGTCTTTTTTTTTCCTCCACAAATGGGGTGGTATTTGATTGCCTCTGTGTTTTTATGTTTTGTGCTATAACGAAAAAAAGACTGACAATTTTGAAAAAAAAAACAAACCATGTTTTTGATTTTTTGCTATAAAACATGTCCAATAAAAAAGTTAAAAAAATGAAATTTCGTCAAAAATTTGGGCTACATGTCTTTGCTGGAAAAAAAATGCCAATACGTGTAAATTAATTGGTTTATATGATAGTCTACAAATGGCAGTGTATATATACTGGAATTTTATTTTTTTTTCCTTACATACTAGTAATGGTAGCGATCAGCGACTTATAGCAGGACTGCGGCAGGCATTGTGACACTGGGGGGGAACTAACTGCCACTGACAGCCCCAGTGACACTAATACAGTGATCAGTGCTAATAAAAAGCACTGACACTGTACTAATGACACTGGACAGGAAGGGGGTTAACATCTGGGGGAATTCAAAGGGTTAACTGTGTTCTGTGTGTGTTTTACTGTGTGCTGTGTTTTACTGTGTACGCATGCTGCTTTGTATTGCTATGCAGAGCAATACAAAGCACTGTGCTGGAGCTGACGGGAGAGATCTGTATTGTTTTAGTTAGTGTTCCTCGGTGATCGCTGGGTGCTGGTGATCGATAGCTGTAGCCACCAATAGCGGCGCGGGTAGGGCGCGCACGTCCCCTACCTGGAAATACAAAATGTAAATATACGTGATTTTGCGCAGCCCTGCCGCCCTGTAGCAGTAGTTCTGCTATAGCGTGGTCGGGAAGCAGTTAAAGTGGGTTTTAAACCCTTCCGTATACCTAGTGAAGTGACTGGCCTCAGGTGATACACAGAGAAGAAACCAATCCTCTTATACAAGTTTTATCTGTTTATCTACAGCCGTCTTTCCCCTACATCCATTCATAGTGCAGAATTTACACAGGGAGCTGAAGAGTTCTGAGAGATGATTGGAGGGAACACCCTTCCTCCTCCATACTGTTCACAGGAACACAGCTGAAGCTGTCAGTCTAATGGAGGTCTCTCCCCCGTCATCATTTTTCTCTTGGTGTCAGGAGCTCATCAGAAGTGACTCATGCTTATTGCAGAGGAATGAGGCAGAAGACAGAAATAACACTTAGTGCTCTGAATTGAGACACAGTATAGAGGGATATGCTTTATTCATTTTTCATGGCTGTGGTTTACAACTACTTTAAGTGATATACTTTTTATTGGTTAATGATTTAGAGAGTTATTAGAGATCCAAGCTTTAGTAAACCCTTAAGTCCTGTTTTCAGGCGGATTTTGAAACCCACATAGTCATACACATAGTTACAAGGAGGAGCAATGAAATATGTTCATTAGTAAAACAGAACTATTTTTAATGACACCCTTTAGGCTCAGCATGTCTAGAATATGCAGCTGTATCAAAGCATTGATGAATTTGCACTTCTGCATGGCATGGGGATATCCTCACTTGGCCCATCTAAAAGACTTTAAGGGTAACTCCACTTTTGTGGGCAAAAATGAGCAAATAAAGAAAAAAACTAATATAGTGTATATAATTGCCACACATATCATATTGTAGTTGAATGTTATTAAAAATGACTGTTGCTTTTCATTTTGCAGCGCTGTAATCTTCTGTAAAATTCAATGCAATATGGCTACTTGGAGGCATTCTGTACATAGATGGTGTACAGAAGCCCACACAGCCCCCTCCCATCCCCTCCCAGAAATGTCATTTCCTCCTTGTGAGTTTGGTTTACTGATTTCTCAGAAGTCTGCACTAAGATACAAGGCAGATTTTGAGCATTGCCTGCAACAAAAATTGTATTTTTTTGGTGAGATGCTTCCAAAGGAAAATTACGTCTAAAGGGATGCAGACTCTGCCACTTTCCTGATTAGAGCCCTGCAAGTGCAGCAGCTGATTGATAATTATGAAATCACTCCTATACGGATTCACTGCACACATGGACACTGACAAACGGCAATATTTTCAGAATAAGAAAAGGTAGGAATATGCAACAAAGTTTGTTAAAACTGTAATTTTAAAGTCTGTAATTTACATCGATCACCCAGTGTTATGAGGCTTACAGGCTACAGAGATGCTAGTGCAGTGTATGTATAATTTTGTGTAAAAATAGACTTGCTCTTTAACCTCTTCACGCCAGCCGCACACAAATGTGTGGCCTCCTGGCATCTGGGCTTAGACGCCGAGCGGCCGCACATTTGCGGTCTAATTAAAAAAAAAAGTGCTGAGAGCGCGTGCTCCCAGCACACATGTCCAGTACTCACGGAAAGGTCCCGGTCTCCTCTTTCGATCGGGACATTTCGTGATCATGTGACCGCCGTGATGATGCGTCACGGCGGTCACATGATCCCTAAACCCCCCCTGTCCTGCCTCCTGGCTTCTGAAACTCAAAGGGCCGGGAGGAAGGGGTTAAAGGATATACAGCACAACCTGTAGATCAGTACAGAGATGGTTCTTAAAGCGGAGTTCCACTCAAAAGCAGAAGCTCTGCTTTTTTGCCTCCCCCCCTCCACCTTTTGGGGGGGAGCGGATACCTGGTTTTGACAGGTACCCGCTCTCATTTCCGGCTCAGTTCGCCACGGCGAAGTGAACCAGAAGCTCGGCCCCCTCCCGCAGTCTCCTGGGAACACTTTCACAGGTCCCAGGAGACTGCCGGACCAGTTAGGAGGCACAGCACGACTCGCACATGTGCAGTGGGCACCAGGCTGTGAAGCCGCAAGCTGTCACAGCCTGGTGCCCACAGTTGAGATGCCGGCGCCATGGAGGGGAGAAGGGACACGTCGCTGGTGAGTACATCGATGGACTCTGAGACAAGTAAGTGTGTGTTTATTAAAAGTCAGCAGCTTCAGTTTTTGTAGCTGCTGACTCTTAATAAATACAAAAATGGCTGGAACTCCACTTTAAGATGGCCATTCATATTCAATTACAGTTGTACAATCTCTCTGCAGTTGTCTAAAAGTGAATGTGGTTTTGCTCCGTGAAAGTCTATGAATTGAAAGCAAACATTTTTTGAAGTACTTTTGAACTGCATTTGTCACTTCATCGAATATGTAGATGAAAATGTTCTGTACATTTGTTCATACTAAAATCTACTAATGTATGGCCAGGGTAAGAAAGCTTACTATAGTCTATGGAGCTGAAGACGGGGAGAAAACTGAGCAAATAATGCCGGAGCTTTGCAGGGTCTATTCTGCCTATAAAATTGATCTGATCACTGTTATTATCACCTATGTAGTGAGAAGGATGACTGGATCCTATAGGGCAACTTTTTTTCTTTTTAGGACAGCCTCGGTCCCATTTTACCACTCCTAGTGTTAAAGGAAATCTGTATTGAGGAAATATGAAAATAGTAGTTCTCTGCTCGTCATACTGATCCGTTACATTCAGTGCTTTCACTAGGAACAGGTTTGCAGGTTAGGCATTCTGACTTTCCTGATGTGTATGGCTGTTCCAAGTCAGTGTCTCAGAAATGGTCGAAGCCATAGACAGCCAAGCAATGAGCATTCACAGCAATGACTGCCTCTATATTTATTTCAGTACAGTTTTTTTTTTTTTTTTTTTTTTAATTACACCTTTCAGGGACAGGCACATAATAAAATCAACACACATACAATACAGGAGAACTTGTGAAATCTGCTATGCAGTAACATGTAGGAAGGAAGTAATTGGACATGGTTATATATTTGCATGGATTTGGCATATGCTAAAACACTAACATATTTCTAAGCACACATACATACTGACTTTGCCAATAAAATACCATCTGGAAGCAAAAGCAAAATGTGCCTTTGGCTGCCAGCTTGTGAAATGCCTTGCATGTGTTTAGATTTGGATTTTTTTTTATGTCCTTTTTATGAGGCTGCTCATAGCTAAAATTAGTCTCGCTATCCTCCCTGATTGCACTGTACATTGTCACTGGTCATGTTTTTTCTAGTAAGACATTTTTACGCCTCTTTCTTTGCATAGCTTTTCCAAATTTTAACATATATCCATGTCTGCAGCTGCATTGCATCGTCTTGCTTGTGCGTAGGTGTAACAGTGCAGCAAAAAAGATTGAAGTGGAGCTTCAGGCAAACGGCTAAATACAGAGTTGAAATACATGTATGTTTACTGTTTTTCCTGGGAAAGAATTTGGACGTTTTTCCAGCCGTTCTTGTAATTCACACATCTCTGCTAGTCAGCAAGATCTGTCTTTCTAGTATATGATTACTGGGTCAGCTCTGTGAGGCAACGAAGAAAGGAAATTGCCGAACGAGGGAGAGAAGTTGTTAAAGTAGAAGTTCCCCATTGAATTACTCTGTGAACATTAAACAGCC